CCCAGGGGTGAGTGTCCTGCACACAGCTTCACCCAGGGGTGAGTGTCCTGCACACAGCCCCTCTCCCAGAGCCCTGCCCCGGCACCTGCAGCACGAACTGGTCGGGCTCGCTCAGCTTGCCGGGGTTCTCCTTGAAGCTCTGGAAGCGCTGCACCTCCTCCCCGTCCGGGGCGTAGAGCAGCAGCTGCTTGATGTGGGACGGCTCCAGGCGATCCGTCTCCATCGTCATCAGGATCTGCCGCAGCTCCACGTGCGACAGCTTCAGGTGGGCGATCAGGATGGCTGGGGAGGCACGTCGCTGTCACCCGGGGGAAGGGGGGACCCCGGGGTGTGGCAGTGCTGGGGCACACGGGCACATCCACCTCCCCACGGCGTGGGGCTTGTGCAGGCACAGCCCCGGGACAGGGAGGGCTCTCCCCTCCCTGGGACCCTGCGGGGGCTGCGTGGGCACCCCACGGGCGGCTCTGCTCCTGCAGCCCCCCAGAAACACATCCTGGAGAGGCAGCACCGCCCCTCCACTGCCCCCCTTCTCTGCGGGCTCTGCCCTCCCCAGGACCACGAGGCACATCCCATCTCCATCCTTCCCCAAAGTTCCCTCCTTGCCCCTGCCCGGGGCTGCACGCACTCTGGGGCAGCTCTGGGCTGCAGGAACATCCATCCCAGCTGAGCTGGGCTCATGGGATCGAGCTCCTGTTCCTTCCCTTTACCTTTCCAGCTCTCTACATCCCACCTGTGGGCCCCTTTTGGGGGTTCCTCCACCGTGCACTTCACTTACATGTGTTGTAGGCCTTTTTGTGGGACAAAATTTCAACCACGTCTTTCTTTTTAAAGTTTTCAGGCATGAGAGTTGGCTCTGGAAGAGAAACTGAAAGATTTAATCATGGGTAAGGACAGGCTCGGGCGGCTCCAGCGGGAAGAAAAGTGTCCTGCAAACAGTGAAACCATGAATGAAAGAGGGGGGCGGATGCTTTGCACACAGCAATGGCTCCAGGAATCCTTGAATTCTGCGATTCAAAGATCTCCCCAATGGAGGACTCAGCTGGAGCTGGAAAAGGTAAAACGAGAGGTGAAATGCACAGAAAACCCCAGACTGCTCAGAAACCTCCTAAAACAGCCCCCCGAGAGGAGTCCCAGTTCATCCCACTGCCAGCTGGGCACCGTGGCCCCTGCAGGAGAGTTCAGCCATCCCATTTGCCCTACTGGAACATCCCACAGGACCACCACCACCCCCCACCCCCAGCCTGGGCTTGTGGCACCCAAAAACTCCTCCGGGTGCAGACCCAGTGGGTTTTGGGAGACCCCAGCTGAAGAGTGATGGGAGCTGCACAGGCACAGAGCTCCAGAGCCATCACAGCTCCTGGGGGACATCCACTGATTATCTGCATAAAGAGTGAAGTGCTGCTGGTGATGATTGCTCTGGACACGGGAATGTTTTCAGGGCTTTTCCAGCATTTCCAGAGCTCTAAGCACTGGAGCTGCCATTGCTGAAAGGCTCCAGCAATTGGGTTTCAGTGCCCAATGAAACGTGGAGAGAAAACAGATCGTGGCAGCAGAGATAATTAAGGGAGATAATGAAACCATCTCCACCTTAATGATCCGCTGTGCCACAAAATCCTGAGGATGAACAAATTCATGCCACGGGTGATGTCACAGACAGGCATTGCCTTGCTGCCCATCGAGCCCCAGCTCCTCCCAGTTCCTCCCAGTCCCTCCCAGTCCCTCCCAGTCCCTCCCAGCTTGCACTGGTCTCTGCTGGTACCAGGATTTATTCTGGGGCTCAGAACTTACTCGTGGGCTTCTGAGTCCCAAAGTGCAGCTCCAGGTCGAGGTATTTGACCATATCGCTCAGCTTGTCGTAATCCGAGTCTTCCCCGAGCTGTGGGGAGGAGGAGTCAGGGGCTGTGCGGGCACAGGGACAGCCCCACAGTGGCACCCGTGCCCGCACAGCCCCTGTCCCCAGAGAAACCAGGACAGGCTGGTGGCACCATCCTGTGATGGCTCGGCCACTGCCCTGCCGATTCACTGGGCTCCTGACTGCTGAAATCCTACAGAGCACCTCTGTCTTCACTTGCTCCTTGGACATGATCCCCTCACTGAAGGATCAAATGGGGATTCCAGGAGCTTCAGGGATTTTTCTGCACACAGAAAAATCACTGTGAAGAAGTGTCTTCCTTCCTGGAGCGCTGGGGAGAGGGACCTGCAGGGTTTCAGAGCCTGGGGGCCTGGAAGATGATCCCACAGCTCCCTTCTGGCTGCTCAGGGCACGGGGAATACGGAATATGGCACGTCCTGAACACCGGGAGAGACGGGAAGGGACGGATCCACCTCAGAGTTCTGCTCCACTTCGTGGCCACGATGCCAAAAAATTGTCACATCTTGTCCCACCCCTCTCCTCTGCTGTCCCCTCCACTGTCCTGCCCTCTCCTCTCAGGGCTCTCCCATCGCTCTGCTCCAGCCATCCTCATCCTTTCCCACTGAACCCGCCCACAGCTGCAGAGCACATCTGGAGGCAGCTCCTGGCTGCGGCACCCCTCAGGGCAGGGAAGCGCTCCCCAGCACGCTGCAGCCAAAACCAGCGGCTCAGAGGCTCTGCAGGGCCTCTCCCACCCCAGCAGCTCGGTCCCAACATCTGCAAGGACGAGCCCGAGCCCTGCAGAGCCTCAGCAGAGGTCACGGCTGCCCCGGGCGTGGCTGGGACCCCCGCGCCTCGCCCCAGCCCCCTCTCCCGGGCCATACCTGTCCCCAGATGGTCCCCTCCGAGTTCTCCACCTGCTCCCAGCGCAGCCTCTTGACGCTCATGTGGTTGGACTCGCTGCGGCGGTGCAGCAGCCCCCGGTGCAGGGGGGGCGCGCAGGGCACGGGCGGCGGCGGCGGCGGCGGCGGCGGCGGCGGGATGGGGTGCAGGTGGCCGGCCAGGGACTTGGTGACGGGCGCCGCGCTGGCCTTGGCGGCCTCGGCCTTGGCGGGGCCGCTCTGGGGGTCGTGGAACTGCAGCGGGGGCGGCGGCGGCGGGGGGCTGAGCGGAGGAGGGGGGATGTGGTCCGAGAGCGTGGAGTAGGTCAGGGAGCTGCCCTCGTCGCTGCTGCTGATGTACTCGCTGCTGCTGACATCGTTGGTGACGTAGCTGCCCTGGTCATCCTGGAAACTCATCTGCGTGGGCACCGAGCAGAGGCTGAAGGTGGCACCTCGTCCTCCACCCACCATCCTCCATCCATCATTC